ATATGTTTGTGTGGGGAGCGAATAACTCAAAATTTAATAACTTGATTTAACTCATCTCAAAAAGATGCAGGTCTTCTGCCTAGCCAGTCCCTCAGTAACAGCGGGGAGGTTTTGGTGGGATTTTAGAAATCAGTGAGCCATTTCTGTCAGCCTGACCCTGAAAGCTCCAGGACTGACAGGAAGTCCGGTTATTCGGATACTAAATATTTAGCGTGTAGTATCATACAATGGGCTTGGGAAGGATGAGAACAGAGTGAGTGCTGGCATGTCATGTCATCAGAAACAATGTGTGGGACCTCACTTCTAGCAGGTGAAATATGCTAGTCTCAAAAAGGAGTCCAAAGAAAGTGATTCAAAAGGTAGGTGAGTGTTTGGGGTAGTCAGTTATTTTAAGTTTTAATTTATAGAGACGACAATGGAGTCAATGATTGGTAGCTCATAAACTATTTCAGTAAAAAAACATGGAACTATGATTAGACTGTCAAGATTATCAAAAGACTGACGGAAAATTTTATGACTGCAAATACAGGGTAGTCAAACTTTAGTAATTCTTCACATCACTAGTGCAAATGGACTCCCTAAAGACATTCCTAATGTTCCACTCTTTTCTCAATTAAATGAAAGGTATGATTTAACAATGTTCAAGAGTCTTGATATTTGCTTTAATTTTTTTTAAATCACCTAACTAGATCATTTTAAAGGACATATCATCTACTGATTAAACTATATTAAAATCTAATCAAGAATTTTACCCATAAATTAAGTAGATTAAAGATTATTTCAAAATAATGTTGTATCTCTCTAAGTCTACAGAGCCATTTAGCATGATCTAAACACGCCAGACAGATCTTAAACACTATTCTGTAAAGTTCAAAATCGTTGATATATATAGGAAGATCATAGCATAGAAAACAAATTGGTGTGGCAGACTGGATATCAGGTACATACATCCACAATGTTATAATTTAAAATCAAAGCAGACAAAGTCAGAGTTATTAAATACTTTATAGCAAAACTGTTAGTATGATATTCTTGCAAGAGAGATTCTGGCTCAATGTGTGAATATTTTTTCACTTCAAGTTTGATGAAAATTTTGTATTTTCCTTACCCCTCCTACTTTTCTTCCCCAACAGCCCACCCTGAGTTCTAACCCCTCCACCCATAAAGGTACTCTTTTTTTTTCAAGAACACAATGACTCAAGTTTTGTGGTGGATTTGTACAACAACCAAATGGTAACAACATTTTACACACATGTGATATGGTCTTTGTAAGCTGTCATATCCACCAAAAGTACAATAGTTTGCCTCTTTTCAATGCAGGCTATCCAGATTAGAGGCTTTTATGGGCTCAGTGAAGATAGAGAATCCCAAGAAATTTGAACTTCAAATGATCTCAAAGATTATTTCAATTCTAATCTACTTGCAAAAGGAAAAGGCAAGGCAAGTGCTGAAGTAGAGCGATGCAAATCTACAGCAGGGAATAATGTTCAGCAGGAAAATAAATTTGTCTAATTTTGTGTATGTGGTTCATTTCCCATTGGAAAAACACATAAAATACGGCAAGAGTTCACAAGTCAGACTCCATCTCCCACGCAGAGAGAAAGTTAAATGTTTTCTATAGATTGTACTGAAAGGCTCAGGAATATTATAATCCATAGCTGGGACTCTTCTACGTTAATGACTTACTTATCCTGCTGAACTGATGTGTGTCCCTGAGAAACAGTGAGACGATTAAAAACATTCAGCTCATTACGGGGCCGGCTCGGTGGGGAAGACGGAGGTGAAAGGCTAGCCTCTGAGGCTCCAGAATCTGAGCTACAAGGAAAAGAAAAGTTAAATAGGCGGCTTTAATTGGCTTTAATTTGTTAGAAATGTTACAAGAAACATGCTTTGAAAACAAAAGCTTTTCATTAGAGAATTCCTTCCTTCCCTCCTTTCTTCCTTTTTCATAAGATAAAATGCACTCTGAACAAGTTAATTAGAATTTTTTCCCACTGGACTGTGTTACACTGGCCACGAGATGGCACTAAAGAAAAAGTCCTGTCTGCTGAAATCTAAACTCGGTATGAATAAAGCAAGGCAAATTTAAAATTACACAGCTTTACAGTTGAGACCAAGATGCTCCCTTTACAGATGAGGAAACAGACCCTGAGAGATTAAGAGGGATTTGCTTATTCAACTGATTCATTCATTTATTTTAAAATTACTTATTTGCTTCATCCTCTACCTCCTAATTATTCTTCAGATATTTTATTCAGTAGAAACAGGGTAAATTACATCTTTAAATACAGGAAGCAAGGATGACTAGAAGAATTTCCATGACATTCAAGTCAGCTAAAACCAGTGGTCAAAGTAGAGAGTGTGCGTGATGGTACAGGGTTGGGGGATGGTATAAGACCGTCCACTTGGGTACAGAAAACACCCAAAAACTTCTTTTTATATTTATTTTATGTTGAAGAAACTGGCTTTGCCAATGTTTGAATAGAGACTGCCATTGATACTCTCACTTAAGACCATGTCAGAGACTGACCTGCCATGTGCAGCTCGTTAGGTGACCTGAGGGAAACGTGAGTGTGCCGCAGGGGAGAAAGGTGCAGTGGCTCTAACCCATTCATAACTTTCTGCGTGTTGTAGTGTTGCAGTTTACAAATACCCAGGTAAGTGGACCATATTATATACTATTAGGCAAACTAACCCTCACAAAACACACACACAGCTTTTAAAAGATTTCAACAACAAAAAAATTAAGGATAATACCAATTTAAATATGAAAGAACAGCAAGAAAATAGTACAACTCACACATCTTCTAACATTAGATTTTTTTCAACCACTTTAAAGAGGTGAAATCAATGTCTGTTTTATCAGGTAACAGTCAAAATTAATTTCAAATTTTTCTAGAAGACTATTTGAATTACAGTTTTAATAAACCTCTCCTCAAAGGTACATTAACCCTACAATGATATACACAAATAATTGAAAAATAAATCAGGGTATATGATCGGGAACAGTTACTGGATTTTATTTACAGGTTATGTGTGTGGCCAAGAAAATTAGAAGACCGTAAGCCAACAGCTGATTTGATTGTCTTAAGTCAAATCAGTCACAATCCCAGAGTCAGCCTAAATATGGAAAATGATTCCACTGTTGTCCTTCAGCATCTCAGTGCCGCTGATATTTTATACGATCTAACAGATAAAAAAGCATTAGCAACTTACTGCTTGTGCTCCTTGGTCTTTGGTTTTTCTGCTTTCTCATACGCCTTTCTCCTCGCTACGGGGGAAGGCTCTGGTAGTTTTTTTTCTGACAGAGATGACTGTCTGGAACTAAGAGAGAAGATTCTGTAATCATCTAATTTTAAATACATACGTATCACTTTGGCAGTTCAACCTAAATTTTTATAGATTACTAACTAGAACTTGAAAAAGG